GCTCCGCTGAGTCCTCGGATGCCCCCTGGAGCTCGGGCCGGAGGGAGCCTCCTCGTGCCCGCGCCGCGCGCGCTCCCCAGCTGCGCCCCGAGCCCGCACACGCCCCCGCTGGTCCCTTCCTGGTCCCCTGGTCGGGCACCTTTCCCACTCCTAGAAGTTGCCCCGGGACCCTTCCAGGGAAAAGGGCGCAGTGGCCTTGGGGTCTTTGTGCGCACACGCGCGCCTGGGGCGTTTGCTCCTGGAAGGACAGCTGCAGGACAAAGCAGGCTGGACTCGTGGGTCGCTGCTTGGGCCGCGGCGGTCCGCGATACCGCCTGCAGTGGGGGTGTGGTGGTGGGAGCGCCAGGCGGTTTTGGAAGTGGGGAAATCGGCAAAACAGTGATAACGACTTGAGGTGGCAGACCGGAGCAAAGGATGCTCCTGCATGCAGCGCAACTGTGTGTATCTGGGCGTATGGCCAGGCGCCCGGCTTCCCATTTGACCGGGCTTATCTAGTGTATTTTTCTAGCGTTATCTTTGCCCGGAGATGGTATTCTCTACCTTCTCTGATTCCTTTCACAGGAATTACTGTTGCTACCATAGTAGAGGCTTTGCCACGGAGAATTTAGGGGCGGGGGAGACTGCAGAGGAGAAGGAGAGGTGGTTATTTATTTAGAGAGACAATTAGGAGTCGTAACGCCTCTTTCTTGCCCCGCCATCCCTTCACACTTTAGCCCTTTCCTCCCAGTGCACCCACCCTGGCCTCGCTGGTCTGGGAGGATGCTTGGATTTCTTTCTGTGCTGCGTGTAACTAACCCTTTCTGCATGTATTCCACTGCAGGCTGAACAAAGCTCAGTCTCAGTTGAGCTTCCTGCTTGTCAGCCTCTTGCTTCGCAAACGCTTATCATTTCCACTTGATGTCATCATGCAGAAGGGGTGAAAGGGACTCGTTGACAGATTCAGGTAAACCCCAGTAATCTGGGTAGCCGCCTGGGTGTCTCTGGGTCATTTGAGCCCACAGTGCTGGGGCTGCTTGGGTGGTTTTGGCATCAGCGTTATTCCCATCTGTGTGAAGGAGTGGGGGCCGCTGAAACCCCTGCTTCAGAGGAGAAATTGCAAAATGACTTCAGCCCTTTTGAAGAAGTCATTTGGGCAGGGCGTGGGCGCTGGGGTTTGTATAAATTACACCTGGTTGATGGGAGTATTGATAGGAACAATACACAGGCAGTTGGATATGAATGTGGGGATTGGATATAAGGCAGCATCCTTAGCTATACTAATGTTTTTGACTTCAGTCAAAATGGGGTATCATTTGTGGAAAGGCTATTATGGCAAGGCTGACTATAAATTTGACCAGTGCTCAATTAAGACATTGGTCAAATACAGTGACCTTCTTATGAAATAATATTTTCCCCTGATCCCTTCACTGTAATAGTGTTTAAAATATCAAGAGAACCAGGTTTGCAGTAAGTTGCTGGGAGGTGGCAGGGAGGACTGTTTGGAGAGCATAAAATGAACAGGAAAACGAAGCTTTAGTTAAGTTTCCATTTAGATAGCCATGAACCATTAGACTCTCATTTTGCATTCTATCTTTAGGTTGTTCTTAGAAAAACCAAACCAAACCACAAAAAATCTCTGGTCTATTCTTTTCTTTCCAAGGATAGCTTTGATGTTGACCTAACCAGATCTGGGGTTATCTTGAGAGAAGTTAATGAAAATGTCACCTTCAGACTTACCAGGACACCTTGGCATTGGGATTCTTTCCTAGAGGGCAGAGCATTGCACATCCTACAGAAGTAGCAGGGAATGAGAATGGATATGGAAATGGACTCGGGTTTTTCTTATAGGAAGACAGATTGCTGAGGGCCAAAGGTGACTAGTGCTCCCTTTGCACAGCAGCAAGAGGCAGCACAGTGAAGTCTATGGCAAATTTATTTTACCATTTCCCCCCGAATCTCTTGAAAAAGAAAGTCTAGAAACTTGGACAATTTATTATTCACCTCTGGGGTAGTTTTGTTTTGAAAGGTGACTCTAAAAACAGAAGTGACACTAACATTTATCCTTCTACTGAAAGCATTCGGGAATCACTCGGAGAAGGAGATGAGTTATCAGGTCCCAGCTGAAACAAAGGCCAATACTTTGGAAAGATGAGATTAGTAGTACGGTGGTAGGATAGAGGTATTTTGACAACTGATTTTTATGTCAGCAGTAATGCTGGGTGTGTACTGTTTTGCTGCAGAAAGAAAAGCCCATGTGATGGGATCATAGGGACTATAATAATGCAATAGAAACAAGGGTGTGGTTTTTTCAAACAAAAAATAAATACCTCACACACAAAATTCCACATGGGAAAACAGCTGCCTGCACATGTAAATGCATGTCCAAGAACAAAGATAGCCACAGTGCAGTGTTAGGTTTCACTGTGGTTTTAAATTGTGTACAGTGGTAAGTCATAATAAAAGTGTTGTATTGAGGCCTAATTTATTTCAGAAGGAGGCTTCGCAGTGCCAGATGTCTGCAGCAGTATGTTTAGGTTTAGGTTGGATGAGCACTGGCAGTAGTGGACGGACCTTTGGATCCAGTGCTTTTTTATGGTGTACATTCATTCATTCAGCAGATGTTTGTTGGGCACTAGATAGATGAAAGGCTCTGTGAGAGGTGCCAGGGGATGGGAGTACGGGGTGGAGACATGAAAATATATTACCTGCAGAGAACTTATACAGAAAGGGAGATAGGGAGAACTGCTCAGAATGAAGTTCAGTGAAAGCTTTAGAGAGATGAACCAAGGGTGGGATTGGACTTCCAAAGATGGGGAGTGTACTCATCCAGCATCTACTTGAATGCCTCTTTCACTGGGGAGCTCTTTACTCCTTCAATGGCTGGGCCTATACTCAGGTGTCCTTTTCTTTACAGTCTCTGAATGCTTCAGCTGAATTCTGCATGAGTGGTCAGGTTCTACCATTGTTGGGAGGTCATTCTCTTTCTTTTTTCTATGGTGTCAATACCCACTACTTTTCAAGGTGTGGTTCAGTCCCTGCTGCATTTAAATTTTGAAACAAATTGTGCTTTTCTGTATTATCTGTTTTAGAAAACAGATTGAGGTGAGGGCTTTTATACATTTCCCTTACTCATTTTTAGACAGAGATGTATTATCAAGAGAGGTTAGACTATGTTGCAGTAACAACTATGTCTACCTCCCAGTGCTACATGCAGTTTCTTTCCCATACTGTGTATCTAGTGTAATTGGCAGGGTGTGTACTGTAGTCATTATAGTCACTCAAGGATCTGAATTGATCGAGGCTTGATTGTACCTGGGCATGAGCCATCTCTACAGTACTAGAAAGGAAATGCTGTGGGTATCATTCTAACAATTGTGGGATTCCATCCAAAAATGAGTTATGTGGCTCCACCCCAAAACTAGTCGTATGACCACATAGCCACAGTTCAGGTACAGGTGAGCAGTACTAGGGACTTCCACGGTAATCTGGCCCTGAGAAAATTCTAAAGCATATCCAACAGGACCTGTCTTAGTGATTGGAAGTTTTGGGTATTCTATCAGCATTGATTAAATAAAAGAATAATAATGATGTTAAAAATCTGGTCCTATTCCAACCTGTAATTTATCAATATGTTAATATGGCATTTACTAACATGATTGTATACTGGTCATCAAATAAAGCTACAATCCTTTTTCTTTTGCCTGTTTTGAGTATAGTAGGTATTTCCAAGGCCAATGCTAGGAGGTTTCATGCCTAGCATTATGTAATAGACACAGCTTACAGACTTTCTCTCCTTTACCATCTGCTTCTTCCTGAGTTTGTAACAGCCCATTGTGGAACAAGAGTGGTAGGTGGGCCTAGAGTCACCCAGGAAGTGGCCCCTTACAGCTAAGATGGGGATGGTGCAACAACCAAGACTAGAAGGGGCAGAAATAGGTTTAGGGTGATTGTAGGTCACCTTCTTGTTACTTAGAAAAAGCAGTTAGACAAGAAGCTTCTTGTCATAGGACTAATAGCACATCCAGAGAGGTCTAGAACATTCATGCTTCCATCAGCTACCTGGCTGGCTGCTAAGGTAGTAAGTTTTAAACTCTCCCTTACCACACTGCCTGAAGACAACTAAAGGCTGTGGAATAGGTGTTGCAAGCGGTTGTGGACCAAGCAGTTGGCAACTTGTAGAGAGACATCACTTTGAAAAGAGCTGGTCACCTAAATATCTTTATTCACATTAAGATAACTGCAAGCATAAATTAGAATTTTAAAGTTTTGATAAGTGCTTTAAGCATAAGCATGGAATTTAACAAATTGCTTCTGGCTCAGTAATCACCTTGGCAAAAAAAAATTTATGGATGTCTTTGTATATAGAAATAACATATAAACTAAGTCTCCCAAGTCACAGCGATTGAAGGGACACTGATATTAGCCCAACAACCTAAAGGCCACTTTCTAGTCCAGCTTAATTTGAGTGGTAAGATATTGTACCCACGGGGGTTCTGATTTAAGAGATAAGCAGTTTGGAGAAGCAGACGTGGACTATCCAAGAACCAGTTCAAGGCCTGGGGTTGGGCTGAGAGTGAGCATAGACTGAGCTAAAAAGAAAAAGAAGTCCTGAAGGCCAGCCTTGAAGTATATTTGAGAAGCTCCAAAATGCATTTCTGTGTTTTGTGTGGCTTCTGAATCTTGACCTCATTAACGTCATGCTAAAGCCAGCTGTTCAGGTAGAGGACACATGTACCCTGAATATGATCCCCCTGACACTTCCTGTCACAATGTTACAGTAACTAGAAAAGAGGAAGGCTGTGGGTTTCCTGCTCCTTTTTTGTGGCTTCTGCAGTTATGCTATGAGTGTCAGTAGTCTGTTTCCACGATGGAAATCAGTTCTTCCATGATGGAAATCATAGTTTGGATAAAATAAATCCTTGTTTTATGTTTCAGAATTTTTCTAATAGATTTACTGTTGTGGTAGGATTTAAGGAGAGGCCTCGAGCAAAGTACACACGTCCCACATTTTTCTGGGATGATTCTTGCTGTCCATGGTTTTCTGGCCTAGACCACATATGGATGCTGAGGTGTAGGCAGTGTGCTCTTTCTAGAGCTGTGGAGGCCACTTGTGATCTATTGGGAGTGGAAAGGATGAATTGAAAAAGATGCCTTATTTACCAGTTGATATACTGATTCCTGTATAAATAAAAGTGCAAACATTTTGCATGATAAAACTTACTCTATTTTTTAAAAAAAATTTTTATTTTTATCAGTACATGTTTGCAGTACATAATGATTACATCCATCAAGGGAAGTTGATGTGTAATGCATCTTAATTCCTTTTATATCCACTTCCCCTTCTCACCCCCGCATCTCTTTGTCCTCTTCCCAACTACAAAAGATCTATCTTCCTGTTTCCTAAACCTATCTTTTATTTTTCTCTCTTATTTATACTTAGAGTTTCTCTTTGTCTCTCTTTTTTAATAGTATGGCAGATTGAAATCAGGGCCTTACTCCTTCTAGTCAAGCCCTCTACCACTGAGCTACATCTCCAGCCCTGAGACTTCTACTGTAGCATCGCACAGGCTTCCTGGGGTAATGAAGATGTCCCACAGGAATGATGAAGTGGAATCTACAGATGCTGTGTTTGTGCTTGTGTTTTCTCTTTATACTCCTCCCCTCCCATCTCATTCCCACCTACCAAGAAAATACGACTTTCCTGGCTCATTGGCAGAAGTGGGTAACTACACTCACTGATAGTCACACTTCCCACTGAGTTTGGATGAGTCGATGAAGTTTTCATAACAGCTTTGATAGATACTGTGGAAATCGGGAGCTTTATTGTTATCAGCTGTTCTCCTTGTTCACAGTCCACACATTTCCTTTAATTTCCATCCCCACTGTTATATCCCCATCAGGAACCTTATTTATCCCTGGGCAGTTACCATGCTACCTTCACTTCCTGACTCTTGCATCTCCGCT